AATTTAGTTACCAAATATTATTATTACAAATAAAAATACCGAGGAAAAAAGGGTGCATTGGTACATATCTAATTCGATTTTAATAAAATATACTTTCACTGTAATAAAAACTGTGAAATTTAAATTTTTATACAAATACATTTCTTATATTCCATTTGAAAATATTACAAAAATAAAATATGCGAGTAATATATTTCCTTCGGCACAACTATTATATTTTAAATAGTATTATATAAATTTTATATGTTTACAAAAGCACATACAATTGAAAAAAAGGTCTAACAGTATAATATTTAATTAGGACCCAATCAACATAAAATAAAAGAATTCGTAAACATAATAAATAGAACAATAATAAACAAAAATAACTCGCTTGTCAGTGTAGATAATATTTTTGTTTCTATAAATACTTTATATTTTTCATAATTATCAATTGTTATAATATATGTGGAGCAACTGATACATATTGAATGCATTTTCAATAAAAACATTACTGCGCTCGTATTAGCGTGTGTTCACTTTCTGAAATAAATGTTATATTTCACATGATATGCCCACATTTTATATTTATAGCTCATACTGTAGTTTTTCAAGATACTAAAATATAATGTTTAATGATTAGACAAAGAAATAAGAATAGTGATAGAAAGCTTCTTTGAGGCACACATGTACATGTGACATGATAACACATTTAAAACCAGATGTTTAATAGCACAAAAGCTGATACTGTTGTGATTGCACAAGGATCGTCATTAATAAAAATGTGTGGTGTATACATATTTGCAATTTAAGTACTATCCTATGTATTTTCATACACAATTAGAAGACTACCTTAAGAAGTGTTCTTTAAAAGAGTGTTATATTTTCATATATAGTGTTATAATATTTAAAATTGCTTATTATGATTATTACACAATTTAAATATCATTTTTACCATAGCCATCAAATGTAAAGTTGACTTATGTTCAAAACATATTTTTATATACATGAAATTTTATATGCCTGTTTATAAGATTGTAATTCCAATTAAGTACTTAATGTTTAAGTGTCATGTAATTGTGGTTATATATGACATAATAAAATATATTTCCTAAGAATAAAAAAACAATATATACATATATATATATATACATATATATATGTAGAAAGTATAGATTTTTAACATGCTTCACAATTCATATTTAATTTTAATAACCAGTGCCACGTACCAATATTCCCTTCTTCTTCCTCGAATATTTAATATTTTTATGCTCCTAAATGTATATTACTACACGTATATACAAAATTGAAAGTAAATAGACATTACACTGCTACTTGAATATTCGGAAGGTTTAAATACATGCGTAATGAAATTACCCTTGTTCCAATTGCGTTGCAGAGATTTGACTCCCTAAATTAATTTGCTGCGAAAAAATTGCTTGCCCGCTGTTTTGTGGTGCAGTGGTGCAAGTCAAAAATTGCTGAGAACCATTACCACCATTATTTACGTCTTCAACAACTAATTGAACACTTTGCCCCTCTAGAGAACAAATTCTCTGTACTTCTTCAAGCGTTAATGTACCACTGGCATTGGTCACAAAATTATAATATTGTGCCATATTATTTAAGACTTAACTGCTTACAAATATGATCTTTTGTTGGTCAACGCAGATTACTATCGAATTGATTAATATCACTACTATACAGGATTACACCAGTCCATCAATATCATATCTGTAGAACGACGAATTAGTATCCGCTCAATAAAACCTATTAAAAACAATTTAAAGTTACTTATCATTTCTATTTCCACCGTTCATTATTTTACAATTCAAATAATACAACTCCAAAGAGAAAGGAAATAGAAATGTATAAACAAATCTTACAAATTAAAGAGAATGAAGCTAATAAAAGAGATAAAATTATTATTTAATATTACGCAATTTTAATTCTTTATTATATTCACTTTAACCAAAATCAATGTAATGGTTTTATTAAAAGGAAGTATGGTAACACTAAAACTTTCAACGATAGAATTAATATAAATTGCATATACTAAAAAGACCAATTCATCATACAGATGTATTAAAGAACTATATCGATTAAATATTAAATTTACAAATTCGCAAAAGTAACTTACTTTTATATTTATTCATGATTATGTATATTACAAATAACTTTCATTTTTAAATTCATGGCATAAAATTTCTATGTTATTTCATGTATATTATCAGAAGTACTTAAAAGAAATATGTATATCTTGAAAAATAAAACAAACTTTCATTAAACTTACAAATATAGTTTCAATAAACACATAAAGCATACTAAAAACGTTCATTTCTTTGTAAGCGGACATAAAGTAAAAGATTCAACTTCTTAAGTAGTCTCCTACAAACGATTTTCTTTTACAAATTACATAACAAATTCCTAATTTGCATTATAACTATAAATCAATAAGTTTAAGCATAAATTTTCAGTTCATTGTATGATTTTATGCATAATCAAAATATATAAGAGCTGTACATGTGCTTCAAAGATTGATACTTTCGGAAAATTTTGTACTAATAAATTATAATATCAAGTGCATGATGGAATAATTAATAATAATAATAATATTAATAATAATACCGATAATAATAATTTTTAAACCATATAGAAAAGTTAGTATATTATAACAGTTTTTAAAGAATAAAATTTTTTGAAATTATCGAATAATATAATTTAAATATGGACAGTATTACATAAAATAAGTATCTACTTTAAAATGATGTTACCCATCATAACCATTAAAATAGTCTTAAGAAAATGAAAGTATTATATGTAACTACA